ATGTTCCGAAGATACGGCTCCAGAAGTTTCTGCTATATTTTAAACCTGCATGATCACTCCACCATTGTTTTCTTTTCTTCTTCCACACCCACCTTCACCAACCTAAAAAACCCTACATTCTCAATATTCCAAAACTCCAACTTTTTCGTGCAAAAAATCAAATGGAGCAAGAGAATATAGAATTTTAGGTAAAGATTACACTTTGTCCACTATATTTCTCACATTAATCATCAAAGTTTTGGAAAAAAAATAACTTTGCTTCCAGAGCTATACCTTCGGAACGTGTTGAAGATGAACACTTCCGGATGTACACTTTCGGAACGTGTCTGTTCTGTTTTTTTACAGTAGATTTGTAATTTTTGTTTATTTTTATTATTTTTTACAAATAGATATGGTGCACCCTGATAATATCTCCAAAGAATTAGTTTCCATAAACGATGTTTCTCAGAATGCTCAAGGGGTTGTCGTAAAATTGGTAGATGTCGGCTTTGACTTTAATAACAAGCAAGAGTTTGATGATCGTGATAGCATGCTCACATGGATTTGTAGGATTACAAATAGACTTGGTTTTGGTGTGGTTATAGGAAGATCAAATAATGGTTCAGAAAGAAGAAACGCTTTTGTAACTTTGTTGTGCGAAAGAAGCGGGAAATATCAAACTCCTCTACAGAAGTTTAAAAGAGACGACACCGATAATAGAAAAGGTGAATGTGCTTTTAAGATTCGTGGTTACATGTTGAGTACTAAAAAGTGAAAATTTAGTGTTATTTGTGGCTTGCATAACCATGAATTGTGCTTAAAGTTACAAGGCAATCCTAGTGTATGTCGGCTCAAGCCGAAAGAGAAGATATGTATTAGTGACATGATCTTGAATCTTGTCCAACCGAAAAATATACTTTACACATTAAAACGGAAGAAGCCCGACAATATACTAAATATAAAGCAAGTGTATAACATTCGGTACTGCATCAACAAGGAGATTAGGGGAGATAGAAGTGAGATGCAACAACTGTTAAAATTGTGGGATGATAACAGTTACGTGTCCCGATACAGAACTTGCGACAATGAAATTACGGTTCGAGATATTTTTTGGACTCATCCGAATTTGATAAAGTTGTTCAATACATTATCAATAGTGGTCATTCTTGATTCTACCTACAAGATCAACAAATATAAACTTCCTTTATTTGATATGGTTGGTGTTACGTCTACCGAGAAGACATATGCCGTTGGTTTTGCTTTTCTGGAATGTGAAAAAAAGGATAATTTTACATGGGAATCAGAGGCGTGTCGGTCACTTTTGAAGGACCAATTTGATATGCCTAAAGAGGTTTTTATCGACCGCGATACCACGTTGATAAATGCGGTTGTAAAGGTATTTCCTTCTTTTAATGCATTACTTTGTCGATATCGCATAACAAAGAATGTGAGAAGTCGGGTTAAACCTGCGGTGCGGGAAAAACAAGTAGAGTCCAAGGGTGAAAAATAGGTGAAGGCTGGTGTGATTGTTAAAAAATAATGGATGCATGGAATCATATACTAAATTCTTCCACAAAAGAATTATATGTTGATTTCGTCATTCAATTTTAGGAAGTGTGTGAAAAGTATCATGCTTTATTGAAATACGTTGAAAGCACCATTCTTGATCAAGTGAAGCAGAACATAGTATGTGTGTGGACTGATAATGTCCGACACCTTGGAAATATAACCACCAACAGAGTTGAGTCGGCCCATGCTAGTTTGAAAATTTGGTTGGGTAATAGCGAGGGAGATTTGTATCGAGATTGGGACTCTGTAAATCTCATGAGTAAAAACCAACATAATAAGATACAAACAACATTTGGTCAGAGTATAACGGTATTGGAACATCGATTTAAACAACATTCTTTATTCTCAATTAATCGGCAATATGTCTCGGCCGGGGTTGAACTATATTTTTCATGAGGCGAAACGAGCTGAAACTGTAGGTTCCGATAGCGCAAAGTGTGGTTGCACTATTATGAAAACCTATGGTCTTCCGTGTGCTTGTGTTATTGCTATAAAGTTGAAACTAGATGAGCCAATAAGAATGGATGAAGTTTATCCTCATTAGAAAAGACTTAGTTTTGATGATGATTGTTGCATGGAAGAAGGTAAACCAAATATCTCTATTTTGATCGAATGGGAAGCGATACAAGAGAGATCATCAAAGGCCAATGACAATATGAAACTTCACATCAAAGAACAATTGAGGAATATTGCATATCTCGAAACAACCGACATGAATTCGCATTCTCAACCGGTAAAAACAAAAGGTGCTCCGAAGAAAATGAAGCTTACACCGAATGACAACTCAGCTACATGGTTTCCTTCTTATTGTGAGCACGTTGACAAACTTTATCCTGACTCACTAACTCCTAAATCTCAAAAAAGCATCATGAAAGGAGCCCGCATAAGCAAACCGCCTCCGACCCCAATTCCACCAAAAATTCCATTCATCGACAAGATGCCTATTTTTATGCACAAATACATCGACCGTATTTTCAATGTTAAAGGGGATGGTAATTGCGGTTACCAAGCCGTTTCATCTTTGCTTGGTAAAGGAGAGGATAGTCATGTGCTTGTCTGTCATCAATTAATCCAAGAGTTTAAGACGCATAAAGAATCGTACACGCGGTTGTATGGAAAGAAAGAAAAATTCGATGTGGTTTATGAATCTCTTGTTTCTTGCTTGAGTGGTCCGGCGCCGGTGTCGAAATGGATGACCTTCCCTGATATGGGTCATCTTATTGCATGTGCATATGATAGGGTGTGCATTGACTTGACGTAATACGGGTTTTCGGAAACCTTTTTCCGCTCTGCACAAAACCACCTCAAAATCCAAATGGTCGCTTCATGTGTATTAGATGGCTTGAAATATCAAGACATTTTGTGCAAGTTTACTTGAAACCGGGATGCCCCATACCACCTACATCACCAGAATGGACGACCACTCAACCGCAAATGTCGAGACGTGGTCGAATCGTTTTGTTGAAAGGATGCACAAATTCGAAAGATTGAACAACATTGAAAAGGAATCGAATGCGGAAAATTCCAAAGGTGTACCACCAATAGATTTAGCCGACGAAACGTATTCTGATTCTCTTTGAATTCTTGTATAATCGGATGACTAATTGAAAGTTTTTTGAAGTGCAAAATAGTCAGTTTTTATTCTTATGCCTTTTTTATACACTTATGCCTTTTATTTATCTATTATGATGTGCTTCTATATGAAGTTCTTATTTTGAAATGTAGAAGGGAAAGTTTCGGATATGCATCTACGAAAGGTTCTTAATTTTGTAGTTTCAGGGAAAGTTTCAGAGATACACCTCCGGAAACAATAATTATGAGTTCGTTCCGTCGATATAACTCTAGAAAAAGATTGACAGAAAATGATTGGTCCATATTCACCTAGGTTTTCTATAAATTTTGGGTTTCATTTGTTATCTTTCACACAATTACAAAAATGTCTCAATTGTTTGAAATCAAGCTTCGTTGGTATGTCACAAGTGTCGCCTTTTCCGACGACAAAACACCCGAGATGACGTTCAAGCTCATGGATATCACCCATCTCTCTGATATCATAGACAATATCCAATATCGCCTACCTTACAATGACAAACGAAAGGTTGTGAAGCTTGAGTATCGTTCACCTTCAGTTGACAACGAAGGGGGCGTTGTTTACAACAAGTTTGAGCTCAAGAATCAAGACGATGTTAGGACGATGTGGGAACGTATTAAAATAACTGTCCTCAATCCCTATATTGAAATAGGTTATTTCTAAGCGAGCCTTATAACGATCCAAATACAAATATTGTTAATAATTACAAAATAGCAAATAGACACGGTTTACAACATGAATGATTGATGATTGTTTGTTAATATGTGATTGTTGATATCAAACATTTTCTGAGTAGGATGTCACACTTTTCTTTATTTTCTATTATATTGCGTTTTAAACACTTTTGGAGTAGGATGTCACACTGAAGAAAAAAAACCCTCATTTTTTTTTATGTGATGCTCTAATCTATGTTACCAAATGGGAAATTTATATCAAACATTGTCCATGTGAGAACCTGGTCATAGGCTTATAGATTATATTGGTTTTTCATACATGTAAGTCACTAGAGTTGTTAAAAAAACCATCAACTCAACCGAACCGTTAAACCGAACCGAACTAAAATTAAAATAACTGAACCGTTATGCTTACTTAGTAAATCAAACCATATTGTACAACCCGTCTTAGAACTGAACCAAAACTGAAATCAAACGAAACTGAAATTATAATTGGATCGAAACTAAAAATGAAAAATATTAAAAATATATTTTAATTTTTTTTATAAAAAAATTTTAAAAATAATTTAACGGTTTGGTTATTTAATAAACTATTCGGTTTGAAGAAATTTAACTTCTAACGATTCGGTACGTTTTGGAATTTCAAAACACTATACCAAACTAATGATTATGGTTCGGTTCAATTCAGAATAAATTAAAATAGTTTGATTTAGTTCGAATAAATTTTTATTATAATTTGTTTCGGTTCAGGTCGATTTTTTCCGTAAACCATACCATCAGCAACCCTATAAATCACAACTCTTCTATTGTCAATAAAGTGATTTTGATTTATACCAATATACTTCCACAATAAAGAGATAGAAAAATGAACATACAATTACCAAGAAAAGAAAAGGACATTACACATATCATTCTTTTGGTAGCATCTATTGCAAAAATGTAACCTCAAGTGGTCAAATTGGCAACTTGTAAGAGAACCAAACAAGTCTATATAATATATGTTACTAAAAAATATTGCCCTTCAAGTTCAAACAAGCCAAGAATCTAAAAAATCACTAGAAAACCAAACAATGTATCTAAGTACAAGGAAGAATGATGCATATGACATTACAAGATTGCTCCCAAAGTTTCCAAACAAACAGCTAGGAATTGATGCATAACATGAGAACATGTTTAGCAAGAATGGCTTAGAGGGCTCTCGCTTTCACAATGTCCAAGCTCATCTCACTTGGATCAGTTGCTTGCAGTTCAACTTGAATGCCGTCCAATTCTCTTTTGAATCTATCCTTGGAGCTTGCATACACCATCTTCATCCTCACCCTTGAGGTATCTGGTGACCTACAACCAAAACATATTCAACACAATGATTAACCGTTGACTTAAATTTCGGATATGTTTGGATGTCCATCAATCTGATCAAAATTTCGGTTAAAAATTCAATAACTCAAACTAACTCGAAATAGTTCCTTCATTATTTTCATGTTTTATTGCATTAGGACATGATTTTCTGTCATGTTGGATGGCCATAACTGCAATTGTGCCTACAATATTGCCGATGGGATAGTCTCTGCAATAGTATTGCATCACAATTGCAGTGTGAATTAAAATCACACATCTGACCGCTAATAAAAATCACATCAGACAATTTCATCCATTTTCTTCAAGTATTTCCATCAAAATTCAAAATCTCAAATTAAAAAATTAATTGACATGAAATGAAAAATCTTAATGTGAAGTGTTTTAGCCCTATATGTCAAACACATCCTAATTAAAGATTAAGTTCCAATCGACGTGTATGACACACAATGATTGGAATCACAACACTGCACTCGCAGCTACAACCGCAATTTAAAACTATGATTCAAACACATCTAGTAATATTTGTTTTTTTTAGAGTATTAGTAATGCAATTAAAACTATGTGCATAGGTTAGTTGAATGGAAATTTTGAGAATGGAAACTATTGAACTCTTCAGAAAAAACTAATTGTTATCAATTCTTATATAATAGTATCAGTAATGCAACTAAAACAAAGAAGCGCATAAAAAAGTTACCATGCAACAAAGAAGATCTTGCTTTTCTGGCAGTTCTCATCGGTTGTGAAATCAAAATCATAGACAGCGTATCGGCACTCATCTTCAGGAAAACTAGCCATAAAATCATCATAACTTTCCGTAGGCTCGCCTAATTTATCGACGACAACTTGCTGCTCTTCTATTTTGAAGACAATGAACCGGTAGCTCCTCTTCGATTTTAGCTCTTGAAACCTCAGTTTGCAGTCATCATGCACAGCCATTCCAGACGCCGCGTTCGCCTGTCATGCAAAATTCAGTTTCAATCATTATGCAAAATTATTTGGCTAGAAAGAACATGAGAAATCATACCATTTTGTCAGCAATGAGAAAGAAACGCAATGTGAAATGTAAAATTGAGAATGTAAAGTTGGAGTAATGGAATAGAAAGAAAACAATGGAGAGAAAATAACTAATGAAGATCCATGATTTATGGATCACGAGAGGTGGAAATTTTACATGTCTAAGAATAGAAAATTTTTTTTTGGGAGAAATTGATGGATGTTGTTACAGTCTATTTTGCTTCTTTCGTTATGTATCCACAAATTTGTTTCATGCTTCCACGTTGTGTTATTTTAACAAACATGCTTACACGTTGTTAAAAAATTGAAATTATTTAAGGGAAACGCTAACGAGTCAGACATTGGTTAAGAGATTAAAATGGTAAGTTGGACATTGTTTAAGAGATTGAAAATACTTTTTTTTTTAAATATATGTGTATTCAATGCCCTGAAAAGAGAAATAATCAGACTTTTTTAAAGAATATTGTGTGTATTGAGTAAACTAAATATAACATATTTTCCTTATTTGGAATTCTTAACTAGTGCCCTGAGGGCACTGGTTAGCATGACCCATTATTTAAATACTAGGATTTTATAAAATTTAAGTTAATTAAAATATCTTTTATTTCATATCATAATTTGTTATCAGCTTTTAACTCAACAATAAATTTACTGAATCAAATAAAAAATAATACTCCTGAAATTGTTACATAAACAAACACGTGTTAATTATAACACTATTGTGAATTGATATGGTCAAAATAAAACTAAAATAAAAGAAAAAGATTGAATTTTTTAATAAACATAAGAAATTCTATTAGGTTTTACAAAAGATAGAGAAGAAGAAAGAAAAATAAGAATTAGTTAAAATTGTTTTACTATTTACTTCTTCAATAAGAGTTCAAAAATTATAAGTTAATACCAACAATTAATCTCTCTCAACAACATGAAAGAACTAGTCTATTTATATACTACTAAGATAACTTAGACTACAAGCTAACTTAACAATTGAGCTTACAAGCAAGACACAATTCGACATGCTAACTTAAATACAAAGCTAACATATTTCAACAACATGTTTGAACAGACTTCGACTACAACATGCACAACTCCTGCCGAACCATGAAACTAACATTGTCGACACTAGAGTTCGATCCAAAATATCACAAATCTTCACCTTGAAACAAACTCTACACTAACAAGGGAACAAACTAGTTTTCATCATGTAGTTTTATCAACTGCATATAGTGGAAAAACTTACTACTCAACAATGTCTCGGTGATCATATCAGCAGCATTGTCATCAGTCGAAACCTTTAGCACTCAGACTTCTCCACACTCGATTGTCTCTCTCACGAAGTGAAGCCTCACATCGATGTGTTTGGTTCACTCATGATAACCTGAATTCTTCGACATGTGTATTACTATTAGCCTTGAATTTCGACAGCCAGGTGGAAATGTTAGGTTTTTGAGTTAGGCAGCATTTTCGACTATGGTTATGCTGCGAGGATTTTGACCAGAAAACGAACGATTCGACAGACAAGAACCTTTGAAATTTGAATTCTAATTCTGGAGAGAAATGCAGTTATTTTCCGCCATTAGAAGGAGGAACGTGACACTGTTTCAAGTAATCAAAGCATGCAGAGTGACATTTGTTTTAATCTAGTCCATTGAGTCATTAGGAGCGGTTATTTTGACTGGTTATAAATAATGACTCAATTTAGGATTTTATGTGTGTTCATTTTGTACAAGTCACGGATTACGGAAGTCTCGTCATAGACTAAAAAAAGAGCAAAAATGAACAAAGATGAAATAAACGGTTGAAATGAAAACGAGAAAGAAAGTGGTCTCGGACTTGTTGTTTCCATCAATAATTTGACGTATAACAACTTGGAGGTCTCGTCATCGACCAAAAAGAGAAAAGTGGAATAAAATGCTCAATGATAAATAAAATTTAACTTCTAGAGAAAATATTCTAAAACTCAAATTAAAAAGAAAAAAATCAGAATATATATATATATATATATATATATATATATATATATATATATATATATATATATATATATATATATATATATATATATATATATATATATATATATATATATATATATATATATATATATATATATATATATATATATATATATATATATATATATATATATATATATATATATATATATATATATATATATATATATATATATATATATATATATATATATATATATATATATATATATATATATATATATATATATAAAGTACTCTAAAAGAAAAGTTAGAAAAGAATATATAAAACTAAAAAAACTAATTATAATAAAAATTAATAAAGTTAACAAAAACTAATATTTAAAAAAAACTGTTTATAAGAATTATTAACAAAAACTTAAAAGTTAAATTAAATGAAATATACTTTACAATTTTTTTAAAAAGGAACAAGGGGATTATAAACTGAAAATAGGGGGTGGTATTCAAAACAGGAGGGTCCATGATGGGCTTTCAACCCAAGTCAACAGTCAACAAAAATAAATAAGTCAAAAATAACAAAATAAAAATCTTTTCCTTGTCCATACGCAAGCCACTTTGTCGCTTTTTCTCTGGTTTTGTGTGTCACGGTTTGGAGTTGTTGTGTTGTTTAGGTTGTGTTCATGATGATGGTTGGACGGATTTGGGTTTGCGAGGAAGGTTTAATGGAGGAAGTGGAACGTAGGATCTGTGGTAACAGAGAGTGGTTTTGATGTTAAAGGTCGAGATGAAAATGGGTCGAGACGTTCAAAACGGATTTGGGTTTATGTGGTTTGATGAGGTTCGTCATGGGTTTCTAAGAAATGGGTCGGAGGGGTTTGAAGTTAAAATGGGTCGCGGATTGAAGGTTTGTGTGTTGGCTGTGTGAGATTGGTTTAAGGAAGAAATTGGAAACGGGTTTCGTTAATGGGTGGCTCGGATGTGGTTTTAGGGTGTTTTAATGGAGGTGTTGGTTGTTTGAAGTTTCAAAAATGGTGAATCAGAGGAAGCTTTGATGGATGAGAGAGTTTCAATGTTGGTGATTTGAAGTTGTTTCGAGTTTGTTTCAGAAATGGAAGTATTGATGAAGATGACGAGTAGTCGGGTTGCTGGGTTTGAAGGTTTCGCATCTGGGTTTCGTTTTGGTAGCTGTTTCGGTGTTATGGAGAAATGGTGGTGGTGCAAGGTTTTGAAGGTAACCGAAGATGGAGCTTACGATGGAAGTTTGGGGTTGTCTTAGGGTTTTCAGAAGTTGATGAAAGTGAAGAAGGTGATGAACAGTAGTGAGGCGCAACTAGGATTCTCAGCTGAAGGTTGAAGGAAATGAACAGTGGGTTATATACCCACTGTTCGACATGTGGCACTGGTTTAATGTGTTAATCCAATGATTTAATTCTGATTAGTCTGGTTTAATGCTTTTCAATTAATTAACTGACAAATAAAAATGTTGTAACTAATAAATATTAATAACAAAACACTTCTAATCCTAGTTTTAATTAATCTAATATCTAATAATTACTTCTATTAATAATAAAAAACTAACTCTAATCTAATATCCTAATTAAAATTGAAATGAAAATTCTAATATCTACTTCTAATTCTAAAAAAACTATTTAATTCTAATTTCTTAAATTCTAGAACTATTTCTAAAAAGAGCTTATTTAAAATTCTATTCTATTTTCTAACATATTCTAAAAACTACAATAATAAAATATATTTAAACAAAACTATTAAATATTAAACAAATAATTCTAAAACCAATAATAAAAAACACAAAATGCCATGGAAAAAGAAACGGAAAAACGGGCGAATACCGGGATGCGCCAAAATTATCAGCACAGACTGAATCACTAGGAAGAGGGCAACTATCGCTCAATTTCGACATGGAACTTAACATTTGAATTGGTTTAAATCGCCTAAAACGCGAACGAAGCGGCTGAAATCCCAATAAATCCAATCCGGCTGATAACACTGGTAGTATGCGAGAAATGATCTACCTAAATGATATGCAGATGAAATGCGAAGCAAAAACCAGTCAGAGTTAGAAAAAGGGTGGACAAATTTTAGGGTGCAACAACAGCAAAGATCTTTTATCGAAGGTCCAATATACAATTGTCTCATGGGCGACAAGAATCCTTCATTGAAGGTCTATCATACAATTTACCATATCACTAGTTAGTTAAGAAGTAAGATGCATCATTAAAAACACTCATCTTTGTAGAGAAAAAGAGTATGCCTCAACCTTTTACATTTAAAGACTAAATCTTTGAGAGGATTCATACATTGACAGGCTGAGGATTTTTCCTTATCAAGCAAGAAACATTAAATAAATGTAATAGTATCTTAGATTAACTAAGTTCTAGGTTATAGGAATAAGTCTTTCGTTTAGCTCTTCAAGCTTTTAAGCAACATGCGGTAGCTTCTAGTATTTTTGATACATACCTTCCTAGTTATGTAACAACTTTTCTAACATAGTAGGAGCGACTATTTGTCTAAGTACAAGGCCACCTTCTTGTATTTTCCTTGGGAACACCTTCAAATTGTATCTTCTGGCGGCCCTCTATTTTGCGATGAATTTATCATTTGAAAGACTTATCTAACTTTATCAGCCATATCAACTCTACATCTATGTTTTGTCTCACATTTTCTTCTTCATCTTTATATTAATCCATTAAATTCTTTCTTTTCTTCTTCTTTCGATTTTATTTTGACTTTCATGCGAGTTGAAACACCATCTTTTATATTAATCCATTAAATTATTTCTTTTCTTTTATAAGAATCTTCCTTTACTTTACTACTTTTATGCGAGTTATATTTTCTGGTCTTTACCCTTTGCTTCGAATTTCTATCTTCTTCGCCCCAAACTGCTTTAATTTTCTATTTGCTTTATTGCCAAACCCATTTTTTTAAATTGTTTTCAATACCGTTGAAGCATCTATCCTTCTCTTTTTATATTTCATTTGATTTTAAACTCAGATTAGTTATGTTCTAGGATTTAGTGTGGTCGATCCTACAAGTTAAA